TACTTTCAAATTTAAGGATCCTAATTAATATTTTCTCCAAGTATAAGAGTTTCAGATATACCAATAGAGCCACAGTTTTCACGAATTGTTTGTCCTAAAGCTACCAGATAATGTTGGCATCTTGTCAAAGCCTTAAAAAAGGTGTAAAAAATGAAATTATTTATTAAACAAACTTTCAAACAAATTAAAAGGTTAAAATTTGCATTCTATTGTTACAGTGCAGAGTGAGCTGGATCCAGATAACACGTGGGTAACTAAGTCCAAGAGTTATTGTCGCGAATATTGCCAAAGTTAAGCCTATAGTCCTCTGATGAACTCATAACTTCACACCATTACTATACGCCGGACATTGCACAACGCATATTGCCATATAATGTGACTGATCCCTATCATGCAGTTATTGTTGAAAAATCGTTGTCCTACAGTCACCAGACAAAGTGGGCTTCCTTGCACTGATTATAGTACAGCAAGTTATAATTGCTGCATTTACTCTCTTTTGCCACACATTTTTTTCCGCACGTTCATTTTGCCGCACACCAGTATTTCAACCAAACAACACAACACAGCATGCTTTTTATTAATTATGCACGTATTCCGCGTACGCTTGAAAATAGGTTGGCAGCCCTTGAAGATATTACGACTACGATCAGCTGTTGCAGCGTTTCCCATTTCGTTCAATGTTTGGTTTTAACCTAACCTAAAAACATGTTGTACAATGTTTGAATAATCTTTTATATGGTTTATAGTAACTGTATGACAAATGTACTGTGGAACGTGAGTGCAAACTGCTATCCAACTGTTAAACAATCATGGTCGTTATTCGATTGTCACCAAAAAGTAATTATACTAAAACAATTATAATAAAACATGTTTTCTGAAAATAAATCTTTGGTGTTTGTTCAGTAAACTTCAAGTTTATGTATGTTACTGAACCATATGTTATTAAACCATGTATGTTATTAAACCATAATCCTTGGTTTAATTGACTACTTGAATGTATTTTCCTCCAAACATATGTTATTAATCAAATCAAATTATTCTATAGTTAACATATATTGTATTTTAAAAAGTAAATAAAACATGTCCTTCTCCGTTTGTAAACCTAATAAGTGTGTTTAGTTTTTCTCTTTCATATATTCATATTCTTGATTCAATATCTCCATTGCTCAACATTTTACACTCTGGTCCTTCGAAATCTAATTCTCATTACTCTTTTACATTTCTATTCCCTTTTCTCAATTATTCCCTATAATGTATAATACCACAATTCCCTACAATTAATCATTGTTTGCAAATTTACCAGGCAAAGCCACGAGAAACCCGTTAAAGTACAAGGAATAGTAATAAAAAAAATAAAAAAAAATAGTTGTGGCACTAGGACCACAACATCCTTTCCTTGATTCTTAGACCATGGTGATTACAACTGAACCACCAAACCACTACATATTATACACATATTATTGATAATGCTAACTTAGACCCAAGGCAAAGAACAGAATACGCATCTACGTGTCATTGTTCACATTTGAAAGAAAGAACTGTAAATTTAATACTATGAAACCATTTAGACACATATTCAGAAAGATTTTAAAATAATTATATATTACAGTTTTTATGTTACTGTACCGTAGTAAATAAATAAACCTGAGTTGAAAGGCGTGTAAGTAAGAAATACATCTTTTCGGTCGAAACCTTTATATCCCAAAAGAGGATAACATGTGACAGTGGAAATTATGGAAATCTCTCCCTGCTAAACCTTGTTAGGTTTTGAAAGAATGTTTCCCAATCTTATACATATGTGAGTAGGCTCTGTTTTTGATACTTCCACAGCTCTTCTCGAGTTCATACTTATCTTATTTTTGCCAAGATATTGGTATAGTTTGGAAATACCGTACATGCTGGAGATTAATTAAGTAACCTTAAGCTGTTAGGTGGTTCAATATTGTATTTACCCTATTTATTCAGTTTTAAATATTGTTTATCATACAAAATAAGAAAGAAGAGAAAAGAATGCCCTTAATTATAGTTATAATTTCGTTGTTTGTTATTTTACTGTATTGTAATTTGTCCATTGTTTTAATATTGTTTGATGTTAATTTTGTAAGCAATGATGGTTATCTACAAAACATTTATCTTTTGTAATTTTTTTGTCCAATACCATAAAATCAATAAATATTGTATAGGCAAACAGGGCAATCAGTTAAATATGATGTGTGCTAGTGAATTTCCATTTACTAAAATCAATGCTTGCTGGTATAACCCAGAATACAGAAAGTTCATAATAATGCTGAGTAAATATACGTTCTCCCCCATTAGGGACGCAACAACAAACTCACATAAACAACACCTGACACGGGACCCTGTATAACAACGCCCGTGTCATGTGGGAACATATAAATGGTTATAATGAGTAATAAATCATGTGTAATTATTAACGTAAAGGAATATAACCTACGATGTAATAAACTAAACCTTTAAAGTGCTATGATGAAATATCTTTGTACACTTTAGATTGGTTTGGTTACCAAGTAGTCATTTATTTATTTCTAAAGCGTTATTTGGGTTCTTACAATAGTTTGCTAAATATTTACTTGAAATAGATAATATTTTAAATTTAAAATTTATTTATACTGATTAAGGTTAGTGAAAAATAGTGTAGATGTAGGTTTTGTATGTAATACTAAAAATGCAATAAAGAAAACATAAAATTAACGAGCTTCATTAGTGTTAGCAGGACTACACAGCTAGGTAAAGTTGTGTTGAATTGCATTAAAGAGTTATTTCAAACTTGCTGCTTACTAACAAGAGTTATCACAAATAGTTTTTACATGTTTTTTTTTGTCAAGACGTTTTTAACCGTGCTTAATACAAGTAGGCCTACTGTAATCAACAAAATAAATTGTATTCAGTATATATAGGTTATAGTTTTTTCCATAAACAGTTAATATGCATAGCAAATTGAAGTATAATACAGAAATATATTATTGCAACGTTGATAACTTAAGAAACTGCCAAAGAATCACTATAAATATTTGTGACATTAGGTGACAAGCGTGGGGTTTCTAGCTGTCAAATCGATGTAGTTTTTCTGTGTCAAATGAAAGTTTTTTGCTCAGTGACAGCAACTGTCACTTGTAATGTGGAAGACGTGACACACGTTACCTCAATGTAGTCTAGGTGGGAACGAACAGTTCATCTCAGAAGCGTAGTAATTCGGAAACTTTGTTAATTCATAGTTTATGTCAAACAACCTTCATTACTTACTTTAGAAAAATACAGGGCTTTTTTAATTTATTTCCTTTTTTTCTCGGTTATATGATATGTTTAATTAGTGTTTGAGTTTTAACAAAGCGTGGCAATCGGTTATTGAAGTAAATGATCTTATAATAAATTCAGATGTGTTGGATGGAAAAAAACTATTTTTTTTTTAATTTAACAACATTAAATACATCTACGTACAACACAGTTTTTAAACGTTTTTGTTTCTATGCTAATACGAAAATGCTTTTAATACAACGCTTTTTATAAAGGTATTTTACGAAGTGAGCAACGTAAGGGTAGTTTTTAGTTCCTGACTTATATTTTAGGAATAATAAGATATAGGGTTTATTTGAATATTTAAAATCACCTTTAATTGTAAATAGGCAATATGTGTTGAAGCCAAAGAGGAAATTTAAGGCCTTTTAAAACAATAAAATCCTAACTCTAACCTCTTATGAAATTTTATGCTAATTCCTGAGACTTGATTGCTGTGAAAAATAACAAAACACAATTTATGACAAAATGAAATGTATTAAAGAAAATAACTATTATGCTTACAAATAAAATGAAATAACCCTTAAATGAAAATAAAATGTTACAATTAATATTTAAACAATTTTTAAATGAGCAAAAAGAAATTGCTGCCAGGTAGGATGGAACCCAGGACTGTGAGAGTGTAAGTCCAATGCTCTGACCACTAGACCACAGATGATTTGAAGAATTGAGCTGCAGTGGCTCTATTAGCCTCAGTTAGTGACTATTATACTGTATTGGAGCTTGTTCAGGATTGATTGCACAGGTATACACTGTAAGTTACTGTACTGAATAAAAGTTTGTTAAAAATAAAGGGATACTGCTGACCCTTGGGAAATTAATTAATAATGAGAAAGGGATGCTGATGACCCTTGAAATTAATGTCTATAAATGTCTGACTCACGACTACATGGTGAAAAACCTTCTCTTCAGTCCAAGCACAAAACACATGTCACATTCTGTCTCTGTCTCTATCCACTCTCTGACCACTGAAGCAACCGTTGAGACCGTCCAGCATGACCATTGTACCCAACCTGGCAGCTTACCCTATCTATGAGTGATTTACTTAACTAACTACAATGAATGAATGAAACCATTTCATGAGAATTGTTCTAACAAATGGAATACAAAGTTTTAAATATTTATGAAACTACAAATTGAGTTATTAAGATAAAATGAATATTTTTAAAATACAATAAAATAAAATCTACTTATTTTTAATTAAATAAAAAGATGCTTAATCATACTCCCCACCGAAATTTCCAAAGAAATTTCTACTGATTTGGTACTTAATCAAAGTGACTGGTATGGAGGGGAAGGAGAGGAACAACTTTGACTGCAGGTCTTCTCAACTCAGAACGTCCACACTTTACTGTCAAAACTCTGACAATACCGTCTTCACCTGGGTGCACTTGTGTAATTCTCGCCAAAGGCCATTGAAGAACAGGGGCATTTGGCTCTTTTAGCAAGACAAGATCGCCTAATTTTGCGTTCTCGTAGTTCTTGGTCCATTTGTTCCTCTTTTGTAGGAACGTAAGGTAATCAACCCTCCATCTTTGCCAGAAGTGTTGAGTCATTCTTAGCAGCAATTGCCAGCGAGATAAAGATGATACTTTAGTATCTAAAAGTGACGGTTCAGGGGTGGCAAGGAGTGATGTCCCAATCAAAAAATGGCCAGGTGATAGGAACTCAGTTTCTAGTTTAAGTTAGTTAGTTCTAATTAGTTCTAGTTTCTCAGTTTCAGTTCTGGAGTTTAAAACAGCTTCAATTCTGACAAACCAAGTTGTGAGCTCCTCATATGTGAGTGGTGTGTCACCTGCCACTCTTCGGAGAAGTGTCTTCGCTGACTTCACGGCAGCTTCCCAGAGACCTCCGAAGTGGGGTGCTGAAGGAGGATTAAAGTTCCACTTTATTTCCAATTTGGTTGCTTGATGAAGTATGTCCTCTTGAGTTGACTGTTGGCGATACCAAGACCCAAACTCTCTCAACTTGTTAGCAGCTCCTTGAAAATTTGTGCCACAGTCTGAGTAACACTGTTCGGGGAGTTCTCTGCGACCAATAAATCTATTGAGAGCAGCCAGAAATGCATCTGTACTCAGCGCACTGACGATTTCCAAATGAACGGCTTTGGTAGCCATACATACAAAGACACAAAGGTAGGCTTTAGTGACTGCCGCTTTCCTTCGTTGAGATTCTCTCATGGGGAATGGACCAGCAAAATCGATACCTACATGAAGAAAGGCTCTACTCGGATTTACTCTTGATGGAGGAAGATCAGCCATTCTGGGTGTGAGGTTCTTTGCCTTGTCTTTGTAGCAAGTCAAACACTTGAATGTGCGATGACGAACGAGACTTCGTAATGCAGGTATCCAGAATCGAAGCTGAATTAATGCTTGCAAGAGACCAGGTCCTGGGTGTAAATACAGCTTATGATAATAGTCCACAAGCAAAGTAGTGAAGTGACACTTTGGCAGCAGAATAGGATGTCGTTGATCGGAAGGAAGTGAAGCTCTGTTTAGTCTTCCGCCAACTCTAAGGGTGCCATTTTCATCGAAGAATGGAGAGAGGTTGGAAAACTTGGAATTGGCTATTTCTTCCTTGTTGCAAGTGTCGTCTTGAAATATGTAGTGTGACTGAAGCTTATTCACTACATAAATTAAAGCTTCCCTCATTTCAGAAGGGTGTAGTGGACCGATGCGAATTTGACCAGAATTTATTTTTGCCATTGCATTAGTTGTATGATGAGTTGTAATGATGCCTTATTATCAAAAATGGAGAAATTTCACTATCTCGTCTCTTCTTTAGGGGGAACTGTCTCTGCAGTGATAAGACATCTTCCTTTGGTTGACGACAACTATGATATTGCCTGGAAGGCTTTAAATGAAACTTTCAATAACAAGCGTATGCTTGCTTCAAATTACCTCAATCAATTGATGGCATTCAAACCACAACAGGGGAAAACAACTGTAGATTCACTACAGTCATTTCTTTCTCAAATTTCAGATAATATTGCTGCATTTAAACTTTTGAAAATACCTGACGAAGGTGACTTCATTCTGTTTCATATAGCAGTTAGGCTGTTGGATCATACAACTCGAGAGCAATTTGAGTTGCAGCATAAAGGAAAAGATTTTCCTGTTTTCAATGATTTGACTAAATTTCTCCGTGAACGCTCTCTAGCTCTTCAGTTGGCTGGAGGAAACACACAACAATTTAAGATAAGGCCATCCACTTCTGGGAAGAATAGTGGGAGCTTCAAACCATCAAATAGTCGTAACTTGAAGACTTCACTCATATCCAGCTCATTGCCTAAATCCTCGGCTAACTCCGACAGCAATGATGTATGCTTCATATGCCAAAGGGGGTTTCATGCTCTATTCAAATGCAATAAATTCGCTGATGCATCAGTTGATGATAGACATAAAATGTTAAAGTCTTGGCGTGGATGTAGAAACTGCCTGTCATACTATCACTCAACCAATAGATGCAATTCTAAATGGTCTTGCAAGGTCTGCAAGAAGAGGCATAATTCACTTTTGCATCTACCCGTTCCTGATAGCAACACAACCTCATTGGAACATGAAGATACAACCGCAATCAAGGCTAATGTCGTGTCATTTTGCCTCGGGAACAAGTTTGGACCATATTAAATTGCGCAATTCGTGAACCGGTCCTCTTGTAGTAATAATCCCTACAAAGATATTGTCTCAATTTAAAGTGATAGGTAAAAATAATAATGAACTTTGATAGTCAATGACAAAATAAAATTTTGCCTATATAGAAAACTCCACTCATATTTATAGGACGCCTGTGTGAACACCACATCGTCTGTTCAAAAATTTACCTAAGGTAAGAGCGGGCCAATAAGCTAGTCTTTTTCCAAACAGCAAATCATTATTTTATAGTTTACGTATTCTTTAAAAACCTTACTGGTATTTCTTAAACGATGTACGTAAATCCTAAAAGAAAATTATATCTACTATCCCCCCAAAACTGGACTTTGAATACTGGTTATTTGATATTCAAATACGTTAGGCCATATTTTGGTACCTAACGAAAGGCATTTGGACCAATTTAGTTTATCCAGTTAAAAAAATTAATCTTGATCAGTGCTCTAATTTTCCCTGATTAGGCTGCTGCATGCAATCAGGCAGACGGGGATTGAAATAAGTTTCGTTACGGCTTTTCTTAAAGTCATGTAAATACAGTATATTTGTTATTTAGGGATTAAGAAAATAATTGACGTTGCAAACAATCTGGAGCTACTTATTGAGTTCTTTGTGTATTGTCTTTTTAGCACTTTGTCTGATGAATAAAAATTTACTTTGGTGTCAGAATATATTACTTACTTGAAGAACCAGCCAAAACCTTAGGCCTAAAACTCTTTGCTGATTTAGCCCAGTCAGTAAAGGTTTTGTGCCGTAATAAATTAGAGACTGGCAAAACTATATACCACTGGCTAGTACACAAAAAGATGTACACTTTATACAAAGTCCCCTAAAATCCCTTTGGTGCTTCTCCCCCTCCATGCAACTCAACGTTAGGAATTGCAAGGTTTTACTAAATCACACTTATATCCAAAATGGTTTATTCGATTACCATATTTAATGAATTTACCATATGGGGAAAAGCTATTACCGTAGTACTCATGGTAGTCCCTGGAAACCCGGGTTCGATTTACTTTTTCGTTTTGAGGTCCCTAGAGGCCAAAAACACAATCCATTAAAATTCATACACAGAGTGATCAACTCAAGGAGGCCACCGTTGGGATATCGGAAACGGTTAGTGTTAGGGCCTAAGCCTAAAAAAATATTAATTCAGCTATTGAATTTCCTTTCCATCCATCCCAAAAAATGTGGTGCTACCAATTTGAATTTGCCGCCAAGATACAGCTGATACTCAGCGCTACCCCCTCCCTCAAGGACAGGACGACGCCACTTGCACTCGGACTCCTTTACCTTTACCTTTACCTTTACCTTCTGTCGTGAACTTTTACCAGAGAAGACTGGATTGTTCATGTCAATAAAAAAATTAAAACATCACTTCATACATAAAATTGAATATGAAAACATTTAACTATCATTAATATTTACAGAGTACAAATGGCGAGCAGGGAGGAGAGTGAAATCGGCAAAAAAACTCGTCAATTGAGTAAAAATGTTGCAGTGACTGGCCGCCCCCACCTACACGCTAGTGCCCACCGGCACTATGATTTGTCATTGCCTATGTACTAAATATATGTTTTAATATACAAGTTTACATAACAGTCTAGCCTATTACATTTCCCCGGCATCTTTGCCCTCACGCTGACCCAGAACGAGACGCCGGATCCACGCTCCACGCTGCTACCAAGGAACCCCGCTCGTCTTGAAGACATCTGTAGAAGGTAGCACCACACCAAACCTATCTAAATAAATAATTTTTAATTCCACCCCCAAATTTTTTTTGCATTTTGCATTTTGTTTGTGTCGAAAGAGCCGAAGCCCCTCAACTGCAACCCGATAACTATAATAAACATACCCGGGTCCCATGGTGTAGGCCGGAGCATACGCACCAACCTTGGCACACCATAGGCGGATGACTTAAGGTCCTCAGGCTCACTGGCTGCCGAAGCAACCCTTCGGAAAGAGGGTTGCCCCTCAATCGTAACGAGGGATACCGGCTACTTGGTTAAGCGTCACTCCACCTGGAACCAGCAGGTACAAAACCTGAAGTCCCATAATGAAATGCCCTGACGTATTTAGTGCAAGCAACATTTGGGACCTATCCAATCCCTGACAGGCCAAAACCCACCATCAAAGCGAGGAGGAAAGGGACCGCCAGCAAGCTGATGGGGGAACCCCAACCCCCCATTTCCACCACTACCCAATCGCGGCCTTACCCAGTTGCTGGGAAACCAGAGGTGACCAGGGCGATAGATCCCCGAACACCCCCAGCTGGCTTGAACCCAGCACCCGATCTACTTCGTTTGCCCATCTAGCCCAACATCACTGCCAGGCCATCAGGGTTTCCCAAAAGGAGGCAGGAATAGAAGTTGGTCTTACCCGGATGAACCTATCCACCAAAGGTGGCGACACCCTTAACTCAATTGAGGTTCCAGGGAGAACCCCCCACACTCTAGATAACCATACCTTCCGGGCTAAGAGACAAGGATTGGCTGATGGAGTGCTCCCAGCCGTTGCCCTCACACTGCGGAAAGTTCTGTTCCCCTTGAATGTCCCCGTGAGCTTACGGGTACTCGCCCAATTTCACCTCCAGGAAAGGCTACTTCTAAAGTCGAGGATTTGCCACACAATATATTGCTCGCACACAGCAAGCGGGCCGAAACCCATAGAACCATAGTCACAGGTGGATGGGAGATTGATGGCGCACTTCCACCTCTCCGAGAGCTAAACACCCCGCCAACCTGGATGGAGGAATGTCACTGGGAACTCTACCCTAAGGGGCTGGCTTGTCCAATCGTCCATAACTATGGCTTACTTGCAATGCCGATTCCAACACCGAGCAGTTACCTCCCCTTGGGGGGCTCCACCCCCAACAGATAGAATTAGAGAAAACTTTAAATGTGGCACATTCCTAAATTTTTTGTGACAATTAAAAATGTGAATCAGTTTTTTTTTATTCAGCCACCATTTTACAATATGGTGGCCAACATTAAAACTTCTTATGGAACACCCTATATTTTATTATGTTTTCAGATAGAACATGCAATTTAAAAAACTGTTTATTCATGACATTTTTTCCATAAATTCACTCGTTTATGAGTTACAGCCAATGGGTTATGTCGTTTATTAAGCTTTTATTGAATATTTCCATTTCTTCCTCAATCTTTACAAGTTTAGTAAAGCAAATTATAAATATCAACCTGATGTATTTTTTAATACTGTAACATTATTGATACCTGTCACTAGTCAAATTTTGACAACAACTACACTAGTTAAGTTAAACTGTTTAAAGAACAGGATTCTTGAAGTTGTTTTACTTACTATACATATTTTAGAATGTTTCTTGATATTTACCGAAGACCAAGAAATTTGTTTGATCAATTCATTTCTTAATTTTCAGCTGAATGGAATATTTTACTTAAGCAAAGCTGCTGGAAAATGGGAACATACCTGGGATAAATGTCCATTCCATTAAGAGAGGAATGAGTCGCTCCAAAAACCTTTGGATTAAAATAAAAGTTAATCATTCTTAAATTGTTACTTTACATTTTCTTAATCCCTAAATAACAAATATACTGTATTTACATGACTTTAAGAAAAGCCGTAACGAAACTTATTTCAATCCCCGTCTGCCTGATTGCATGCAGCAGCCTAATCAGGGAAAATTAGAGCACTGATCAAGATTAATTTTTTTAACTGGATAAACTAAATTGGTCCAAATGCCTTTCGTTAGGTACCAAAATATGGCCTAACGTATTTGAATATCAAATAACCAGTATTCAAAATCCAGTTTTGGGGGGATAGTAGATATAATTTTCTTTTAGGTTTTACATACATCGTTTAAGAAATACCAGTAAGGTTTTTAAAGAATACGTAAACTATAAAATAATGATTTGCTGTTTGGAAAAAGACTAGCTTATTGGCCCGCTCTTACCTTAGGTAAATTTTTGAACAGACGATGTGGTGTTCACACAGGCGTCCTATAAATATGAGTGGAGTTTTCTATA